AGTCACCTTTGAGTGAGTGACAACAGCCTGTTTGTGTTGTCTTCCACCTGTAATGAATGGTCACATTAAGTGGAACGACTCAATTAAAACTAAGGATGATATTTTGTCTCCACTACACAACAAATAACACAGTAGTGTACACCAAATAAGTTTATTTAGGGAAGCCTGCCGAGAACCAACCCGAGGCATATATAGCCCAGGGCATGCATACATACATATATTCGCAACTGATATACCATATTCAATCCTGATATACAGTCAATTCCTTACACATTAAAAAAAAAAGGTATACATTACTAACATGCAAACTTCACCAAGTCTGGATTAACAGAGATGGGCAACCGCTTACAAGGACATAACTACGGTTATACAGAGGCCAGAAAAAACCTGCCAGAAAAAACCCCTTTGGGGAAAAAACATGACAGGAAATCTGGGTAGGAACCATGGCCCAAACTCAGAGCAGTTGGCAGCCCATCCTACGAGGCTTCACAGCTAAAGAAAATATGTTTTCAAACTAAAATAAATTTGTCATCAGCCAGAGGTGAACGGTTGGTTCCGAGACCTAGATGGACACCACGTGCTATACTTTCCCTTATATACCACTGCATCATTACCCATGATGCTCGGGCCTAAGGCCCAGGCCTTGTCGTATCTCGTGCCGACAAAATATTTATTTCTGCCTTATTCGCAGAATCATTCGCCATTTTCTTTTTGTGTAAATTCAATCCATGTTTAAAACAGGTTTCATTATTGTACAAAATAACCAATTTTCCAACTATGGCAAGATTTTTTAACTTGATTTGTGCATTATTTGTACTCTCTTAGGTGCAGTTGGATAATAAATATATGTTAATCATAGGCCGGGAGGTCAGTATTGGGGAAAACTGTGCCCAAAGTCTTTAGTACTGCCAAAGGGGCAGTACACAAGACAGACACAAGACACACAATTTAGACCAACCTAGACTGGTTAAGAAATTTTTATTTTTTTCTTGAAGTTAACAAAATACTTGCGGAAAGAACATGAGTTGATTTAGGGCTGTAATTATGGCAAGATCCTCCATAAACTGAACAAACCTTGAGCGAGTAAATTGTAGCTAAAATGGAGGTAATGCAAATTAAAGAGAAAGGCTTCGCCAAAACATTGTTATTTACATTATGATGTAGGTGATTTACAAGGCTTCCAAACAAACTTTGAAACATTATTTTTACAAGTATCTGTCACTATCTGACACCTGTCAATTGGAGAGCACTTGGAAAAAAAGGGCATGTACACTTTCGAAAAAAAGTTCACTAACTCTCACAACAATTTTTTCTTCAAAAACAGTCAATGTTCTTAGGTAAAGTATTATTCACCTCCATCAACAACTAATGTACAAATATTTATCTCTGTTCAGTCAGTATATGACAACAAAAGTCAGTGCAAGTAAATTCAAATGTATGTTTTGAAGTTGTGAGAGTTTGCTCGTTTGTTTGCTGCAATGGGCGTGTGTAAATCTGGTCTTTCTTCCACCCAGAAACTAAATTCAACTGAGACACTTTTACTAGACACAACAAGAGTCAATACGACCTTTTCTCAGTGAGTTTCTTTCAATTTGGTTTCTGCTTTGCAATTTACAGTACAAATGTCCAAATTAAACGGACTTGGAAAGACTTATTGAAAGCGTATTTGTAGCAGAGCTGAAAACTTTACTCACCCATTCACAAAGAACAAGAGAGAATTCACATAATACATAGTACAAAATCGTTTTACATGAAAACGTTTCGTTAATTAAACAACAATAGCTTTATTGGTTCTCTAAAAACATCTTTTTTCTCATCTAATGAATGATTATGTGGAAGCCAGTTGTTCGGGAGCCAGCGCTGAGCCCATAAAAGACAATGACCTGTCTGAACCTTTGCATGAATTCGAAACACGTGTCAAAGAAAGAGAATTCCTTGATGTCGGTCTGTAATAACGTGATCTGGAATTTTGTTGGTTCGATATAAAGAATTCTATACAGGATCCCATAATCAACCATTATGTTCTATAAGGGAATCCATGCTAGCCCCACTTGTTGCTTCCTTTGAGAAACCTTGCAGAGAAACAGTAGAAGAATTTGTGTCACGGTTTCCACAGCAGTGAAAGTACATTCAGAGGTCAGTAGGACAATATTTACCATTTTGAGTACAACTTAAAAGATCCTAATTTCAGCTTGCAAAACTATCTTGTCATTATTTCAAATCGAATCAAACACAAACAGGGTTGGATAATTATGAAGGCCACACCAGGAAATGTACATGGTACAACTTGTTTATCGATGGAAATGCTTCGGAGATGAAGGAAAGCAACACATAAGTATCTCATAAAGAACGGGCACAACCACCAGTGCAGTAAGACACAAATTACTAAGATCTGCATTAACATGTACCTTTGTTTCTCTCAAAGGTTTTGCGGTTTTAATCCAATGTAAGACGATCCAAAATCCGCTGGAAAAATGTTTCGGATTTTGTTTACCGCACAAGATGGCACAGCTATCCTGAAGTGTTTGCCGAGATAACCCCAACACTGACGAACAAGCTATCTGTAGGCAATTTAGCGAAATTTCCTGCCGGGAAAGAAGTGAAAAAAAACTAGCTGTAGTATTGTATTATTAAATCAATGGCAGAAACAACTCAAGCAAATCGATCTCAAAATGTAACAAAACAGATGAAACAGAAAACATTTAGCTTACTCGTTTCCGGTGTGATTATCTGTGCCTTACGGCTGCCTGTACGCGTAATAGACCGTCTCCAGCACCCAGAAATCGACTGAAAACCTGGATGCTCAGTGATACAACTTATCTGGATTTCAGGCCCTTGCTCATCTACTTTTTGCCACAATTGCCCGATTTCCTTACAACAAACACTTTCATGAGTTGTCGGAGTTGGTTGACAAGTTCCACACTCATGCCTTTGATAATTTTATACAAAACACCCTCAGAAGCTCAGGTTTTAAAAATTTCTTTTGTGTTCTTTTAGATTGTACCCTTGCTTTATTGGATTTTCATGTCAAATAAATTTCACAGTAAATTAAACACCAGTTTGAGTTTCCGAGGAGGTCGCATCGCTGTCAACATAATAACTTTTCCAAGCCCTGAATAGGCGAGGAAAAAATACAAGTAACGAGCAAGATTTCCGCTCGTGTTATGTGTTAAACCATCGAATGAGAGATTTATTATTCCACTATTATTTTCAGTTTTTAGTATTTTAACTTTTAGTGTGCGAATTAAATCCTACGGCTTTATCTGTGCATCGTATCCATTGCATAAGATATGCGCGAAAGATGGAAACAACCAGAACTAAAGCATTCAAATGTCCTTTGTGTTCTTTTGTGCTTAAAAGTTCGCTTCTTTAAAAGTGAAATGTAAAAAACGAATAAAAAATACAATGTTTGGATCATTCAGTGCTGCCAATATGTTGCGACGTATTTTTGCCTTGTTTTAAAATGTAATACTGTGGCATATTTTGCCTTCCTCATTACTTTATTTGGTAAAATGACACAGTAGTGGAATGATAAAGCTCATTAATGTTCTGATTCATATGAAGTATCACCAATTAGTTATTCAATTGCTTATTGCATTGGTATTTATTCTTAGACCCGTCCACAATTCAAAATGTCACCACGTCATCTAAGAAGTCTTGGATTGGCCAGACAGTGACTTTGAAGTGTCTTTCTGATGGTGTTCCTACACCAACACTCTCTTGGTACAAACCTGAAGGAAGTGAAATAAACAATGTCACAGCCAGAGAAAACGAAGTACAAGTGCCACTCAAGGGTGATCAAGATTTTGGTCATTACAAGTGCATTGCTGCCAATGGACTTCCTCCATCTGATGAGAAATTAATAAAGATAAATCAGATAAGTAAGTAAAAAAGATCAGTGTATTGTGATAAGAAGAAAACTATATATAAGGTCTGCATTTTCTTTTGCCTTTTCTCATTATCACTGTTTCAGTTGCAGTAGAAGTAAATACCAAATTTTCTCACAAAGTATTGGACAGAGTAACTTATTCACTTTGTACATCTCATTCGATGATTTAACATGTAATACGTGCGGATATTTTGCAAGGCTTATAGGCGTGTGGAAAAAAAATAAGCTTATGTTAAACCATTGAGTGAAGGATTTATCATTCTACTATTCTTTCATTTACTAACAATTTGGCCGCCTAGATTTCGACATACATCCTGCGGCCTTATCTGAGCGCTCCGTTCGCATTTTTCTCCTCTTTAGCTGCGTTTGACCTACACATATTTTTCGCGTTCGTTACCCAATGAGGTATAACGGCGTAATAGTGGAATTATGCCAGATATTGTTAGCCTGATCTTTTAGTGGGAAATACACCCAAATTTATTTTAAAAAAAAGGTTTAAAGTAAACTGTCGACACCTTGCCCTTTGGTAGCATTAAACACGTCACAAAGAGCATTGAACTTCAGGCAGATTGATGATATCTGCCCATGCGGGTATCTATAGGAAACTTCCTCAACCATGGACTATAAATTTTTTCACTTTTTATGAGTCTCTTGGCTGAATGTATCCAGTAGCTACATTGATATTCATTAATTACATGTTAACGCACTCAGCGAATGAACTATGGGGATTTACCTGCACGAGTTCACCGACTATTACACCACGATAATGAGGTCAAGGAGGTTGTTTCGTCACAACCCAGTATCACGTGGTAAAATCATCTAATCAGAAAATCGGAATTCGAACAGTGTATGAAAGTTGAATAATAAACTGTGAGAAGACGTGGACTTGCATTCATCCTTAGTGTTGTGACAAAACTCAAAATAATCTCTTTTCTTATGGCACTATGTAGAGAAACCAGGGAAAGCATCCATCAAATCAGAATCAGTCATTCAAGCAACTTCTATAACAATACAATGGACTGCACCAGCTGATGATGGAGGAAGTCCGATTACAGGATTCCAAATGATCTTACAAAAGGATGGAACTGAGATAAAAAAGGTTAATATCACCGATCCTGGGACGACAAGTTATTCGTTTCCTGGTTTGGAGAAAAATACCAACTACACAGTGAAACTGTTTTCCAGAAATTTTGTATTCGAAGGAGATCCTACTGTATGGAACATTAAAACCAAGTTTGAAGGTGAGGAATCAAAAGTGATATCCTACGCGGTTACGTTCCGTAAATGTTACCTGATTTATCAAGCATTGTTTGGCTTGTCGTTTTTTTTTTTATTTTCTGATGTTCACGTTTCAAAATCTGCAATATGAATCAGCCACAACAACAGCCGCTACATAGGGACCTTAGGTTAGTTGGATACATTTTTCCTAAACTCTTACTGACCATATTCAGAACGCCCAATAACCAACTATCCCTTTAGACAGTGAGACGATTTCCACACATCGTTTGACCAAAGAATTGAAGTTTGAAGAAATGGGCCTTTCATGAATGTCGCTTCTAATATGCAAATATTATGGGAAAATCTCGTCAAACAGTGTGTGGACGGCCTCGAAGAATCCTTCGTATATTTTCTTTAAGATGAGATATAGCTTATTTTTATTTTGCAGGGATTAGCCCAAACCAAAACAATTAAGGTTGCCGTTTTCAAGAAAGTTTCTTTCGAATCTCATCCGGCACATATCTCACTCAACGAAAAAACTATTAACTGCTTTTTTCTTTCCTTTGCTGCCATCACTTAGCTGATGCATCTCTCCCACATCAAAAAATTTCACTCTCCCACACTGAATTCCGAGAACTCTTCTGTCATTTTCACCACCACGGCACTTTATTCTTCATACCGATGAAAGCGACTTAGAACTTAGCCTCCTCTGCGCACCGTAATTTCGACACCAGATTACTGAACTGCGAGAACTCAGAATTGTCGGCGATTTCGCTTTAGCTTAATTAAGAATGTATGATCACGCTGCCTCACGCTGCGAACAGAGAGGTTGTCTATCTTTTCACAGGTTTTTTGTTTGTTCACTCTCTCTTTTGTCTCTCTCTCTCTCTCTCTGGTCTCTCTCTCTCTCTCTCTTTGGTCTCTCTCTCTCTCTCTCTCTCTCTTTGGTCTCTCTCTCTCTCTCTCTCTCTTTGGTCTCTCTCTCTCTCTCTTTGGTCTCTCTCTCTTTGGTCTCTCTCTCTTTGGTCTCTCTCTCTTTGGTCTCTCTCTCTCTTTGGTCTCTCTCTCTCTATTTCTTCCTTTTGGAAAAGGGAAAAGCTTTAGCTATGAGTATCGTTGCTTTGCAAGTTTATTAGAAATTGCAAAATACCAAGAATCACTTTTCAACAACGACCCAACCAGTATGATTTCCCGCTCAAAACACGGGTTGCAAATTCTTTCCTCGCGCTGCTTAACGTCCTCTAACCAACATGAAACCTTTCTAGGTTTCTACAAATATCTTTGAAGTCGAATCTAAAGTCTCTTGTCGTTATCAAGCTTGAGATGAAATATTCTAGTTCTAGCTTGTCTTTGTTTAAATCAAACTTTAACAGCGCAAGAAACAGAAACAAGAAAAATTTCGTATTTCAGGGGCTAGAGTTGCCACGATCATTGAAATTTGGTTTCAAGAGGAGAATCATGAAACACGAATAATCTGAAGAGAAGAACTGAAAACAGGTTGAAAGTGACTATTCTTTTTAATTTAGTACAACTATCAGAGGAGTTTGACACGATAGAGAAAACTGTGGAGTGAACAATCATAACTGGCGACATAAAGAGAAGATATAAGAGAAGCCCGTACGTTTCTGGCGTATTGTTTCACTGACTCACTCTTCTCATTTATACCCATCTATTAGTCGACCGGTAATCTCTTAACTGGACGTTGCTTATGGTCGTTTCTTTCAACTCTGACTCATTTTCCCAAACCAAAGTTCACAATAACGCTCATTGAAATATCATTTCAACCGACGCTGACATCATACACGACATCTGAAGAAGAAGCTGTGCGTACTACAGGTTTATTCTGAACCTGTGCGCACTATGATTGCATTGCATCATGGTTGCAAAAGCAAAACTGAAGCCCCGTTTAAACGGTCATGATAGTTGAAGATAGTGTCAACTATCAAGCGCGTTTGAACACGAACTGTCATGTTCTATCATCGCATTTCATCAAAAATCATGTAGTTTGGACATGTCCAAATTCGACATGATAGTTAATGATAGTTTTTGCTGTTTGAACGAGAGAAGGATAGTGAATGATAGTTGTTAGGTCAGCAGTTTTGCCCAAGAACGGGCTCAAACCGAAATGGCAATGGTAAAATGACTAAAATAGCCGTCGAAATTTACCAGAATGTCTCGTAGTTAATTCCTATCATTTCCTGGTAGGCTATAGTATCTTTAACTTGTAACTTCTTGACTAAAATTTCAAATGCCGCTGAAATTGCTGACCTCAGCGCGCACCGTATTTGTGTACAATTACGCGATCTCATTGCGTGATATTTTGTCAACTATCATTAACTGTCATGAACCGTTTGAACACAAATTTGATAGTCAATGATGTGAATGAAAGTTGTAACTGTCATTCAGTTGTCTATCATTAACGTTCATGATCGTTTGAAGTCATTTGCATCTTGTCGCAGTCGAGTGAACATCTTTGATGGAAGAGAGAGTAGCGAGAAATGTATATAATGGGAATTCACTGTCTGTTGCCGCTCCTTCGTTAAAAAGGAAAGTTAAAAAGAGTTGAAGGGCCTGTGGACTCTCGTAATTCTTCCGCGACCAAATTCGTTCTTAGGAGGCAACTAAAGAGATCCAGAAAGAATCGAAATAGCAGTCTTGCTTAAGAATCTTCACGAACGGCAGCAATTACACTCCCAGCTGATGGCTGTGTGAATGATATCGAATTCAGAAGTTGCATTCCTAGACGGGACTTATTTATAATGACAGGGAATCGACCCTTGACATGCAAATGTATTACAAAGAGATAGAGTCATCCGCCAGGCGTAAATAGGGGGCTGGAATTTGAGGTCGCTACGTTGATCACTGTATCAGTGCTACTTTTTTCACCAGAGAGGAACTCAGTCATTTTTTAATTGCGGTCAGTTACTTTCATTGAGCTCTAAAATAGATCTAGGAAATTTCTGACACCTCTTTGGCTTCTCTAGAAGTCAGAGTTAACAGATAACAGTCTATGCATCAGTGGGTGTGCTACAGACCCACGATGTCTCATAGTTTTGTCATCTTCAAATCTATCACATGTCAAGAATACCATTCCTTGTTCTCAGTGTCTTAGGCTTCATCGCCTATATATTGACAGTTCTGATTTTCCAAGATGTCAGAGGTAATACGTCAGTTCTTCTCCTACCTTTGTCATTCAAGGGAGTCTTAACTGATCGAAAGTCGGCATTCTACAAACGTCACAGAAGGAAAAAAATGATCGTATTCCATTTTACCGGCAAGACCTGTCCTTCTGACAAATTTAAATTACTTCAAAATGATCCAAAAACTGGTATATTATTTTCGCATAAAACATAGACTACTATTTGGTCAGAAATACTTTCTAAATAAATGATCAACCCGAGGCTTTCACCTTGCGTGCATGACACAAAACTTTTCCTTTCATAAATAATGTTGAGACTGCCTCCACCAATGTCATCTATTTCATAACTTGCGGTTATTTAAAAAAGTTATACTTCGGCGAAAAAGGAAGACGACTTGGGGAACGATTCTGAGAACACCATCGTGACGCAAAATACAAGAAAAAAAATATCTCTCAAATTGGCCTCACATTCGTACATTTTATGCCAGTGGTCTTTGTAAGTAAAGGCTGTTTTTTGTACATTAGTTCAAATGATAATCCTTGGGCAAATAAACAAACGTTCATTTTAAGTCGTATTTTGTTTTTCCCCATTTCAAACAGTAAGCACAGAAGTTTACCTGACAGCGACAATACAGGAGAACTGTAGCAGACGTTTAGAAGTTGCTGCGAAATTTCCAGAAATGGTTAGATAATCTACTTGATCCATATACTGGAGTTTATGGAATACTGCCATGAGATTTATCATGAATAGTGAATCTTAATCAATCTGTTCTTGAATCAAATCTGAATATTTCTGTTAAAAAAAAAGATATTCTGAACGATCTTCAATATGTGACAAGCATTTGAATACACGTTTTTTCTTGATATGTCCTTTTAGGCTTGTCAAATTGCCTTGAGGTTTGGCTGCTCATCCGCCAACACTGTGAACACTAGGTAAGGTACAGTTTGTTGTTCTACACTGAAACAACAAACGCAAACTCAAATTTGCCTTCTAGTAGGGGAGAGGACCTTTATTTCAATGCGTTGTATTTTAGCTGTAAAAGTGTTTTTTCTGCTCTAGCAAATCTTATTTAATACAAGAAAATTTATGTTTGAAGTATATTGTCTTTGATATTGTCTTTATTTACCTTGGTTTAATACATTGGTTAAATCTCAATATATTTTGACACTTAAAAATCACCAAAGTTCGAACGTGTGCGATGATACTCTTTGCTCTCTCTCCTCCCCCCTTATCTAGGTGTGGCAGTGTTGTTATTGACTTTATGATGAGGTTCAATCAAACTGTAGTCGTCAGCAATGTTTTGATTGTCCTGTTGGATGCTGCAAGGCAAGACAAATTCAGAGGTTTTAAAGTCAATCCAGACTCAATTAAACAAGTTTTATTACCCACAGATGGCTCGGAAAGCACAGCAAAAGGTAAATTTTACAAATACATTGTTCAATGTTTACACGTATTCTTCTGAAGATGGACTTTTTATAATTGTATTCCGTATCTATTTAATTAAACAACTTATTCTGTGACTGATACACTTCCAAGTTTTTGTTTTTGTCGTTGTTGTTTTATTTAATTAAACAAAGTCTTACTCTTAAAAATTATTTTAGAGAGAGTAGCACCTTACTCTTCCTTCGTACCAAGCCAATTAGAGTTAACGTTTTCCGGTCATGAACCTCAGCTATGTAGTGAGAGCAGTGTATCGACCAGGATCAGTGTAAATGTTGTTTGAATGTTATTTCATCAAGCTTTGCAAAATGAATCATTTTAGGTCCTGAGGAATGTAACTGCCCATCCAACAACGTCTTGTTGGCCGTAATTGGGGTTCTTGCCTTCACAATCCTTCTTCTAATTATTTACATAATCTGGCTACATAAGAAAGGTAGGTAAAAGAATCATAATCTATGTTTGGCTGCAAGATTCTTTTTCACGCAAAAGCAAATTTTTACTCACGTTTACATCATTTGTATTTTTTCCTTTCGTTCTTTTTCAGGCGCTGTAGGGAAACAGAGGTAAGAATTTTCTGCTAGTTGGATTGTGTCGATGTAATATGCCCGATATGGTTTCATCTTAACACAAAACTCCAATAAAAACTGATGAAATTCTTAGCGTTTTATAATTATTTCTATGCTTTCTCAATTGTAGGACTTATGAAGATGAGAGACGTGTTTACGACGTAAGTAAATGAGAGGGAAAAAATTTGTAGTTCTACATAAAAAAAAGCATATTGCATCAGTGGCAGATACAATGAAATAAAAGAGGAAGTTAGGCTCAATAAGGTCTTTGTCCTGTGATCATGTCCTTTACCAAGCCACTCCATGGATTTTCCTTCGATTGTCCCTGGTTCAACCGCTTGGTTTCACTTCACAGATCGCTAGTTGGTCTGCACCCGGTTGATATTTGCTTTCTAAATAATAGATTTCGTGCATTTAGGGCGTCGTATTTTCTTGATGCCTTATTTTCTAAACGTGAGTTTAGGAGCTTGGTACTGCAAGAGTTGTTTCGTGTGTTTATTTGTCAAAATATTGGACTACCAATCGACAATCTTCACGTTGCAGTTTGTAACTTCGACGAATATGCTATGAGCCTCGATCACTCTATTGGACATGACAATTTCAAAAGCAGAGAACAAAATGTTAGTAATAATAATGACAAGAGGTTATAAACTATTTATAATCTCTTATCATGGAAGAATATAAACATTTGTCTGATAAAAATGGGTGAACTGATTTTTATAACCATGAGGTACTTTTTACTGGGATTAATAACCTTAACAGTGTGTTGGTTTTATAGAATGAAACATTGTTAGAAGATATCGAACCAAGTCTACCTGATTCAAGAAAACTCACCCAGCCTCATGCGGAATACATGGATCTCATAGAAGTCAACAAAGATGATAGAAAAGCACAAAGTACCCCTCCAGGTGCTGATTACGTGCCTCTTCATCCATTAACACGCTGCTGGGAAGTTCCTGGACATAACGTGACCATAGAAAAAATCATCGGTAAAGGTGCTTTTGGTCAGGTTGCCAAGGGAACAGCAGTAGGACTTCGAGGGAGTCCTGAAACGACCACAGTGGCTATTAAGATGCTTAAAAGTGAGCTCTTGTACTGTAAATTGAATGAGTCTTGGCCTACAGACATTCAGGAAATGTTACCGGGTTACTGTAATTATTTAGCTATTTGCCATTTCATAAGTTATGTTGTTATTCCGACATTTCGCATATTATTCCCGTTAACCAAATTTTACTCCTTGTTTTTAATGCTCCAGCAAACGCTACTGAATCGGACAAGAGAGATCTGATGAAAGAACTTGACACAATGAAACAGCTAAAACCACATCCTTACGTCATTAAACTTCTGGGATGTGTTACTGAATCTGGTATGCTTTGGTTATGCGGGTCTAATTTTGCTGTACACATTTTTCTTATGATTTACTCTGTAACGCTTTCTCGTCATTGATAATTTGCCTCAGTGGAAGGGTGACCGCTTCGCAATTGAACAAAACAAACAACCATCGCATAAAGTAATTTTATCTTATTTTAGCCAACACAGACGTTCCTGGATTTACTGATAGACTAAGACCGAATATTTGCCACTGAACAGATCATTCTGTTGTAGAAGCAGAAACGCTTTTTGTAAGGGAATAATTGGTCTGTACTTTCTTATGAGACCGTCGCATAGTTTTTCTTGTTTTCATGCGATTTCTTCAAAAGTGTTGACCATGACTGGGCCATTCATCTATTTCAATTACTGCTTTTTTTTAAAAGAAAGTAACATATCAATTAAATTATTTAATTTCTTCAGAACAGCTGTTGGTTTTGATTGAATATGTGCCTTTTGGGGATCTGCTGGGTTACCTGAGAAAGAGCCGTGGATTAAAAGACACTTACTACAAAGACCCGGATATCAAACCACAAACAAATCTGACGTCACAGCAGCTGATGAAGTTTGCGTGGCAAATTGCTGATGGAATGAGTTACTTGTCCGCAAAATCTGTAAGTTAGTTAAAAACACAAAAGACAAACAATTCTATCGTCATGTTAAGCTCTGGCATGGAATATTATGTCTTCACAAGATCACGCCTGGGAGATGCAGACGTATTCTTACTGTCTTGTCGAGGCTATTTCTTTAGGGCCAGGAACCCTCCCGATTTTGACGTCATCATATAAGTTTTATTTCAATGCGAGAATGGCGATATTTGTGCATCATTGCAAGTGTACCCCATCGAAATAAAATATCTGGGTTTTTCTCGTGTGAGCAAAGGCAGAGACGTGAAGGAATAGGATCTTTTAAGATATTCAGCTTAAACTGAGTGTACAACAAATATCCATTTTAGTGACAAGGAAGAAAAGGAATTAAAACTTCAACTTAAAAAAATCGTCTTTGGTCGCTAAACTGCTTCATTACAGAATCCTATTTCGATTAAAATGTTAAGGTAAGCGTTCTTTGAAATGACTACGTATTGCAAAAAAAAAGTAGTTTGCTTCTCTTTGGGATATGGAGCAGTTATTGCAGTAGTTTTAATTTTCTGCCATCTGGAAGAAAAAGAAATACACACACCATATTATGTTGGTAGATATTTCTATTTTCCTCTCTGAACCATTTCATTTCAGTTCTTTTTCATCTACAATCGCTAATTTTTGCTGTTACATCAATTCTTTCTTAGATCATTCACCGAGACCTTGCGGCCCGTAATGTGTTGGTTGGACAAAAGGAAATGTGTAAAGTGACAGACTTCGGAATGGCCAGAGATGTGCAGCAGGAAAATATTTATGAACGAAAGACAAAGGTAATCAAGAAAAAGGGGAGGTGAGGGCGGTATCACATTTCGTTCAGTTTAGTGATCTTTGACATCATTGTTGTGGTTGAGCTGATATATTCCTGATTTCGATCATGAATTCCTTGGGACCCTAATGAAACTATCAGCCATGCGTATACGAGTACAATTTTAAATATCACTATTTCTGACTACTCGCTACCTATAATTCTCGAGCTGTTTCACAAAGTGATATTTAAAATCTTTAGGGCCGTCTTCCCGTGAAGTGGACAGCTTATGAGGCCTTATTGTATGGTAAATATACCACCAAAAGTGACGTGTAAGTATACCTGATTATTACCCGTAGCAGTTTATCAAAAATTTTATCAAATTAATCAGGACTTGAATTCTATGCTTTGTCAAAGAATACATATATTTTATTAGTCGTATATACTGTTTATGTCTATAGTCACTTAATTTATATTCGTTTGATTTGTCTTTTTGCAGATGGAGTTATGGAGTTTTGTTGTACGAGATTTTCACCATAGGTAACATCGAGTAAAAGTTTATGAGGCTCTGTGGATGTTTTTTGCGTTATACCATGTTTAATTAAACAATGTATCGTGTTCAGTCAGACAAACGTAATGAGCTTCAAACTACATCTAGTGACAAAGGTGGTGTTTCATTGAAGGTTGTTTTTTTTGTCACATTAATATTTCGATGGTCTTGTGGTTCTTCCAGGCGGTTCACCTTACCCACGAATGGATGGAAGAAAAATTGCAAACTTACTCCAGGATGGATACAGGATGCCTAAACCACAACACGTCGATGAAAAATTGTAAGTTTTCTTTATTTACTTGTTCTCCCTCGTCGTACAAGGAAACATTCTTTAAATCTTTAACAGATTATTTGAATAATACCAGGTATCAGATCATGATGAAATGCTGGAAGAATGACCCAGACGCAAGACCAACTTTCACTGAATTGAAAAATCAGCTTAAGGACATGGAAACCCTACACAAGGTCAGAATTTTTATCAATATGAAGTTTTTTTTTTTTTTTCACGTAAGACCGACTGGCTTGGGCTCAGCTAATTAGGGTTAAACGTAACAGCATTGATCTTAAATAGCGTCTCAATCACAATTGAATGTCTCAATGACAATTAACACTTGATGGTTATTTAAAACATCATAGGATGATTGCAAAACTGCATTGAGACGCACAAAGAGTAGCAGACGACGACGCCATAAAATACTTCCTCCTTGAATTTGTTTTGGTGTGAAAACCTGACCACTTGTGAGGATAACCACTTAAAACTTTTTTAATGTTGCTGATTATTATATTATTTTTCTCTGCAGAAGCTAATTGACATGAAAATGTACGACAAGCAATTGTATGCAAACGTCGAGGATTTAACGGTGTAGTTAGATACACGTCCACAGTGTATGACTGGCTGACAGTTTGAACACTTCGCCCAGACAAGTTTCAGGGGTTAATCATCGTTCCCTTACACGCTTACTTGGTAGAAATAGCCATGTTGCGTTTACCAGTTAGGCTGGAACGTTGTAATACAATGGACTTTATATTCTTAAATGCTAAAACGCTTTTATAAGTTTACCAATAAAGTTTAATCTCATTTTCTCTTTAACATATTAAGTACTTACATATATGCCTCGACACAAGCGTTTGAGTTCAGTTTATTTTCGGGCTCAATTCTGAGGTGGTGATGAGATCTCGCTCTGAAAGCCATAGTTGTGTACAATTTTAATAAATTGCTAAAAATTTTTGCCGCAAAACCCGCTTGTTTTTAGGAAAGCTAATCGTGCGCATAAATTGCTTTCCCAAAGACTACCTTTACTTGCGATACCAACTCGAAATAATTTTATACGGAATTCTAATCAAAATTATACTTGGCACATTACTTCTGCAAGAAAGTTCATTGTTTGGCCTAATAGGCCGATAGTTTTCGCGTACTAGATACTATTACTCAACGAAACTGGTCGTAGGTACGGGTTGAAGTCTTTTTTTCTTGGATACGTTGCTAATGTAATAACTTTATTTTTTTTTACATAATAAAAGTGTTGAAAAGTTCTGATTTGACTCTGTTTGCATGATGATGCTGTACGCGAGTTCACACATTTCTCTCCACGACATTGATCTATTATATCTAGACCCATCTCTCTAGATCTCTCCTTTGAAGGAAGGACAAAACCAAACCAAAGTAACAGAGCTTCCCGAAGTGCAAAAAATCGCTTGTACGTGTTTCAGGAGACTTACATCCAAGAGACCATGTTCTCCTGTTACTCTCAGTAGAGGTTAAGTTAAGAGTCCATCAATCTTACTTAATTCTAAACTAGGTTACCTTTTGGTCAAAACCCTTCTTTCCTCAGCTGATATAAATAATTGCACTAGAAACAGTACCTAATATTAAAGTAACGCTCTTTCAGTCTGGAGTAGAGGATACCTGAGGAATAGTCTTAACATTCAAATGAAGGAGAGTTTAGCGTCTGTTTGGAAATATTCCCTAACGTTATTTTGTTTCTGAGGGCAAAATGATTCTTCAGCATATAGAGGAGAGGGGGTGAAATGGAGGGGGGAAGGGGGGGTGGTCGTAGCTTTGCAAAATGAATTCACTGAAATTTTTATATATTATTGTTTGAAGGCTTTTGCTGAGAAGAAAATGAGTTTTATCCTAACATTTCTGCAAATGTCGAACTTTGTCAAATTTGCCATTCTAAACGACATCACGAGTCCACCCCTGATGCAAAGATTGTGTCATTGATGAGCTAAGTTGTAGTCTTTCGTGGAATAAGGTAAGTTTACTGAGGATAATTACTGTACTGCTTTTAGGAGTCGCTCCTTGGTAAGAATATTACACGTTGTTTGATAAGGTAGTTGGGTTTGTAGGAGTATCATAAGTGTTCTTTCTGTCGGTTAAATCATACCTTAACAGCTGTGTTCAGCAGTTAATAATTGATATTCTCTTACAAAATATCCAATCACAACGAGAACCCTATCCTCTTCTCTTGCACTTCGATAGGGGTTTACGCTGCTAGTCTTGAGTCACTTAGATTGCAGTTCTGCCGAGATAGGACATAATCAACTAACAAAATAATTAATAACCGTTGCAGCTATCAAATGGTTGGCATTCAGCTTTACATAGAGACAGAAACTATCAAAAGGCCCTTGAGTCAAAACTGATTTGAGGTCTACTCTGATTTCGCTGTACAATTCATTCTATCGAGAAAGAACGTCATAAAATTGTGGCCGATTATCTACAACGATTTCTGAGAAGAATATCATTATTTCGTTTTTGATCATCAGTTTTAAAAACCCAAAAGGTCTACACCAGTGCCTTTTATTAAATGACTCTGTTTCACTTGTGTTACGTAGTCAAGTGTGCAGAAAGTTTACGTAGACATTATACATACAATATTCCTACATATTCCTTTAATTTTCATTTTCCTCCACCGCGAGATGCTTTCTCTGACCAGAGGTCCGAGTCTGTTGGTCATCAATACCATACATTCGTCAAACACGGTGGTTATTCCTTCCACCACATTCTTCACTGAAACGACAGCTAGTTCTAAAATCGCAACATACAAAAGCGATGCGACTAAACGATGTCGCACTGAATTATTGGACCTCCCGCCAAGCTCAAAGGATCAAACCCTTAATTTCATTGATACTGAGAGGTCGCGTACATGCTCTTCACTAAACTCAAAGAGTGCTGGTGATTTTTCCTTTTTCAAATCACTGATGAAAAATCATTCTTGAATCCTTGTTCTTAACAATGTAGCATATGCTATGTGTATGCTTGACATGTCATTTATAAATCAGTATCAGCATGACCATGCATCTAACGTAAACAATGAAACAGAATGTGATGTTCTGGAGGGATGTTACTAAAAACGATCAACGATGAACGAGGAGGGAAGAACGGAGAACTCGGTCTTTAGAGTAATCTGCTAAGACGGTAAATTAAGCTGTTATTGAAGCGTTTTGACTTGAAATTTGACTTCAAAAGTTTAGTTTGAAGACGATAGAAATTGCAGGTGAGCTAGAAATCGAGTATTGCATCTACTGGAGAATCAATCGTTCCGCCATTTATCCTTTCTAAAAGCACCTAAATGGAGTAATTTTTTTAATCTGGAGAACTCAAACAAAGACTAGAACAAAAATTAAATCACTTTTGGTTCGCTTTTACATCAAGCGATCAAGCGGGAAGCCTTTGTTTTGCCATAGTGTCTTGAACTAAACGGCACACACTAAAGATGCGTAGAAAGTGCTAAGAAAAAGATCTCCCGACTTCCGACAACATTTCGCGTAACAAAGAAGTGTCCTCTTTTTCATTCTGATATGCTGCTTTTGGTGTTACACACGGCAGAAGTTCAAAAGAAATCTTTGAATACGTCTTTCTTAATCAAATATAACGAGAAGTATGTGGGTCATAATAGCGGAAATGAAGAAAAAGACAAAGCAGAAAACAAACAAACAAACAAGAACAATGATTTTATCTACTCACTTTGCCTCTACTTCTCAGTGAGTCAACAATATTGAACACAAAAACTTCTGTGCACTGTAATCTAAATATTCTAGGTTTAAAAGTGAATAACAGCTGAAAGTCTTTTGAGGTTAACCTTTCGTCGTGAACGCCGCTGGTGACGCACACGTCGAGGAGTCCACAAACTTCTTGAAAACTGCTAACTATCTATATAATATAGATTTAGCCAAGCCTAAAAGCGGAGCTCTAGTTAGGTTATTTTCCAACCCTTCATTATACTGAATAAAAACTGTTTCGTCAATATAATGAATTATTAACTTGATTTTCCTGATTGATTTTGATTGACACTAGCTTATGTAATTAAGCCACGTGAATAGTTCAGTTTTCAGTTCAGATACTTAAGATTCGAAGATACGTACAAGTTCTGCTAACCTGTCTTGCTGACCCGTGTTCTGTTATACCCTGACCTGTTTCATCTGTTGCTGACCTGTACGTAGCTATACATCGTGAAACAATCCTACTAGACATCGTCATAGAAGTAAGTTCTCAGTGCTGTAATTCTATCTAATAGTTTTACTCGTGTGTTTATGAATCGACGGATCCTGTTCAATTTCTCAAATGTATCTCGTTCTTTTCTTTAGATCGAATAATAATATGTTGGAATAGATTATACGATTTGCGTAGCCTAGTTGGATTGCCTGTTTGGTTTTGTTGGACCAAAAACTGTAATAAAACTCTTCAGCACTGATTGTAGAAGAGTTTCCTCAAGGGGATTTAAAGACCAGGGCCCAGTTGTTCGGAGGCGGATTAGTGCTAACACAGGGTTTAATTTTAATCTGGATTTCTTTACTCCTTTGTTCGAAAGCCTTTTTGGGATCATTTCCTCTATTCTATATCGAGCATCCAATCATCAAATTCTTATCAAAAGTATCTTTAAACAGCCTGAGATCCTCGTTGTTGTTCCTGATGTTTTGAGCAAATTTTCGAAGATAAAGAATGTTTCCTTCTTCAGATGAAATGTATGATGTCAGGATCAGTTACAATTATATTCTACTGAGCGTGACTTATAATTGCAGTTTAGAAAATTGAGCCTTAACAACTTTCATGCGTTAAAATACAAACAATTTTCTCTTCATTTATGTGCCCTAAATATTACAAGGGAGGAGGCACGTCAAAGTAAAAACATATATTAAAAAAGGAGGGCCCCCATTGATTTCAGTCCAAATTAAAGGAGGATCCTTGCCTTTCCAGATTCTAGCCCTTTAAAACTCCCGTATCTTGAAACCAATTCCGTATATCAAAGTTTCCTTTGGGTATAAGCATTGATAAGAAATACCATGCATTAATGAAAGCTTGAGAAAGAGTATTTAATGCAATCTAAATAATACTATTACATGTTACAATGTGGTAACTTATACAGCGAAATTATATAATCACACAATTCCAGACAAAGGAAGTCAGGTTATTGACCCACCTGCTTCAACTTTGAGGGATTAACGTACAGAGAAATAGATATGGCAAACAGTTACAATTTATACAAAGTTGAAAGTTTTAAAGCTAAAATATATACATTACAGTCATTACACCCTATGCATCCAAAAAAAGAAAGGGTCAAGTACCACCATAACTTCTTCCTAACCTTAATGCTTACAGGAAATCATTAATTTTTGTCACAAGGTGGTACTGTACTTACGATAGTTCTACCGACACAATAACATTTTCCTTAAGTTATCTCATTGCATATGACTGAACAGGTCATGTGGAAAGTTCCTGTGTGGAGACTGACATTTCACTGGTTATTTACCAAGTGCTCAAGTTTCCAAATTAGTTACCTAATTGTTACAGTGGAGTTCACTCCTTTTTGAGGCTATCTTCAGCTTGCTCATCTTGTTACATGTGAAAACATCAAATTTTAAAGGA